TGTATGAGTTTGACGGAAGGCGAACAACGGCATGGCGTGGACTTACAAGACAGGGCTATTCAAGCAGCAAATGGTAGGCCAAGAAGCGGAGAGACCGGAGGCGGCGGCGGCAGCCACTACAAGATAACAAATGGATAATGTGGCCTCGGTAGAGGGTGTCCACCGTGAATCCGTTCATTAAGCTAGAACGAGGTCGGAGAAAGCAGATGGAATCCAACGAGCTAGGAGCAATCATTCTGAATCGCTTGCGAAGGCAGACAACGAGTTAGAGGAGAAGGCAGCAGCTACGAGCGAGGTCGGTGTGCGTCTAAGAAGCTTCAGCTTTACGACAGCATGGGCTCCAGCAGGTTGGCGACAGCTGCGGTGTATTTGCGTGTCTCCCGCTATGGAAGTCCGTGTCGATCGATCGCCAACGGGCGTGTCCAAGTCTAGTATAACCAAGCTGCGTTGGAAATTTTTGCAAGCGATTTTGGAGGTGGAGCACCGCTTGTAGCCGAGGTTGAAGCAAAAGGTAGATACTGGAGTATAACCAATAATATCTGATATTTACCTGGAAAGTGTATATTCACGCTGTCATACATCTCTCTACCAGTAGTCTCGAATGCCGACAATGCATGTCTTTCGTCATTTTGACTTTTGGCCAAGTAGGGCACACGTGACTTTTCCAGGTATCTTGGCAGCCGATACCTGCGTAATATTTGCACGGTAACTTATTCTGGCATAACTGGCAAAACTGGAAAACACTGGACCAATACATGTAAAATACCTGGATCTGAGTAAACCTACACCTATTTCCATTCTGGGAAATCTGGACTCCATTAATAGTTTTTCAGTACCCATCCCTAACTGCGTCGCATCCTTACCCAAGATTACGGTACGCTTACAAACGGGTTAGAGTATGGTACAAGAATATGGGTACAGTTGAAGGAAAGGTTACGGGACGGATCATAGTGACTAGTACAAGCTGAAGGAGTGGACACAACAGCATGTAGATAATATTTACTAGATATCCTCCAGACTCTGATTAACAATGTCACTTTTTTCCAGAGAACTACCAAGCTTCCTCCTAATACGTTACACCTACAGGATACTCCATATCCCTCCCGGTATAAAACTGTATCAACAACTTGGTTACCCCTTGATTGGAGACCC